ATCAATTTACTTTTGTCACAAACACCAACATTTATATTTATGTATTTTGAACTTCTTTTGCACCGTACATAACCAATCATGCTCATCCGAGGTACGGGGGATTTACATAACGTGTATTTTTTTTTAATGTGAAAACGATTATTCATGAGTTGCCAAGTCCCAAACTGTTAAAATCCTATTGGTACTGGCGAAAGGGTCCCAAAGTTAAAATCCTCGTTTGGCATTTGGTATTTTCAATATGATTTATGAATATTTCCAATTGTAATAGAAAACTGGAAGTGGAACAAAATGCCATGGCCATCTCAGTTCGGGGCCCAGAACAGCAACTTGCATCCATGAGGAGGAAGCCGACACCTTGCACTCTCATTCTCAAATTCTCAACAGATGCGGGATTCCATCCACTTCAATCCCATGGGGGGTGTCGATCGGTTCAATATCAACCAGCCGGGCTTCTCTGCCAATGTTGCTGACTGCAACAACTACAGATGCTCACGCTGAAACGTATATTAAAAAAATACTACTTTCCCATGTATTGTTTTACTTTGAGTAGCTCAGTGTGTGTTACCAAAATTAATTCGCTGCCAAATCTAATTAAATTAACGTAATTGAGAACAGAAACAATGGTCATGACAACAGCTTTAAGGATAATTTACTCATGAAGCTTAGCAAAGCATAACTATGATCCTTGATAGCATTCGAGGCTGTGAGAAGTCACATTGTGGGATCTCACAGGCCAAGGTCAGAGCACCGGGACAAGTAACAACACCAACGTCAGTGTGTGCTGGCCACCCTCCGTACTCTCCTAAAATCACGAGGCCACACAGATTCCTCTGCCATCATCCATCACTGCAACGCTCGCTTGCTTAGACGTCGCTACACAATGCATGTAATTTGGCATTTGATTAACAACTCCGCCCAAGAATGTGTGGTTTAAAATTAAAAACTAAAGTTGCCTTTCTCTGCTCAAATGAGAAAACGGGTCTCTGGTGTCTGGTGGTGGTCTTGGGCCAGCGCATGGAACCTCTGCATTCCCTCCACAGCACAAGCAAATTGCAACTTCTCACCGAGTGGTGCTCAGTCACCATTAACCGTGGACAATCCACGCCAGAGTTCATCTCCATCGGCAAGCGCCGCACTCAGTGGAGCTCTGTAACACTGCGACATTCACCACCAAATTCCACGGTCCACATCAAATCTGTATATCCTCTCAATTTTTTTTACTTTAGCTGGCAAAGACACATTGGATGTCCATAATAGAGTTTTTTGGGTTAGATCGCGTAAATATATAAATACTCTTTGGTTCTTTCGGTAAAGTCACGTAGGTAGAAAAATAAAATAAAACAAAAATAATATATCACGACGTTTCGATCGCAACACAAGCGGTCGTCCTCAGGCGGAAAAAATAATCCAGCAATGGAACTGCTGAACGCAAGCACGTCAGTTGTGTTAATGGGGGAGATATATATAAATGTGTCGTTAAAACCCGCCACTATCCGACACAGCCAACTAGTAAGGGTTGTCACGTAAACAGAACATGCCAATTCGTCTTTAGTACCACACACCGGTGTGTTGGAGAGCCAAGCCACAACATTTACAAAGTGAGTGCGACATTTTGCCAGTAATTACAACTAGCTTCATCAGGCGACAGCCAGCTTTGTGGAGAAGTCTTACGGTTTCGTTCCTTAAATAAAGGCGTAGATGTGTTGACCACCCTTCTGCGCTCTTGCACACTTTGAATCTCTGCATCTTTTGAGGAACGCCAGTGAACTCCAGAAAACTGGAGACACTCCGAATGAAGCGGGGGACAAAAGGCTCAACGGGATTCCTGCACATTCTGCTGGTTCCACCGAGTCCGCGGTTTGTGGGGACACCTGGTCGAGCTTGGCACTGAATCTTTAGAGGTCGTTCCATTATCCCTGCATCGTCGCAATGATTCCGGGTTTTTTCCCATCGTATGTCCTGTCCACGCTTTTAGAGACCACAACACAGAGCCAGTACAAAAAGGGATGTCGTGGGCGACAAATTCTCTGGCCCTCCTGGACACCCTGGCCCTGTCTCGAACCACTCTGTGGTGTCTCTCCTCCAAGTCGCACGCAAGCTTGAGTCTCATCATAGCTGGCCTATGTTGCAAGAAACGCCACAACGACAATTACAAACGCCCCTGGCATTTCTCCCCAAACGGAAGCGAAACGCTCGTTTCAAACTTGATTTGAAGCTTTCGTGACTGCAGGAATTACTCTTTGGTTCTTTCGGTAAAGTCACGCAGAGAGAAAATAAATTAAATAATAGAATACGAAGTTTTGATTGCAACACAAGCAATCGTCATGTTTCAAGTGTACAAACAATCCACACATTCTCTCGATATTCCCAACTCTGTCCTAAGTTATCTGACAATACGAATTTGATCGCTACTACTCTTGTCCGCTATAAAGCTAGACTTTAGTTCTAACGTTAATTCTGATTTTCAGGGGTGGTTATTGACACATTCTGCAGCTGTCCTTCCCGGTCACATCGGTGACCACACATACATACAAGCGTACATACATACATACACGCATACATACGAGCGGTGTAGCAAATCTACCGAGGCAATTGGTACCACTTGGCTGCTAAAACGCCGTGTGTGTGGTTGAGGTGGCTGAGCAGCATTACGTGAGGTCAGTGTCAAGAATGCCACACAATTACATTCAGACGCAATTGTTAATGCTAACAAATCCGTCATCAGCAATGTTCTACGATCCATAGGATATCTCGTGGAGAGGTGCATTTTCAGAGCCATGCGTGTGATTTTAATTATTTTACTGAACTATAGTTTGACTGAACTATAGTTTGACTGAACTATGGTTTGACTGAACTAGTTTAAAGTGAATTTAGGATAATAGAGTGAACAAATCTAAACAAAGATGGAAAACATTTCCAAGTGAAAAAAATTCGACGGTAAAAATGAGACAAAGATAAATCACTGTCGACTCAAATTGTCACCTAAAATCATTACAATTCAGAACTGCTCGGGGGTAATGCCTATTACTCTACATTCTGCTTAACGTAGTGTGGCATTGGATTGCCTTGGCAAAGACTTTTTCTAAAAATTGAAATGTCAACGAGAAGTGGGCAGTGTGCGTTAAATCCAGAGACCAGCGACAGTGGGCAGGTCTAAACAGGGAAGCGCACACTGAACATCAGTCGACTCGCGACGAGGCGATGGAGCTGGATATGAAACTGGTGTTGTACTCCCACACACAAAGAAAAAAAAGACATTGATCCCCCATATAGCCTTAATATACTGTTGGGACAAGTGCTGTTAGCGAGCACCTACTGTATAAAAGGCTGGTACGGCATACGAGGGGGGGTGGGTGGCCAACACCACGCCCGGCCGCCTTTGTCTCCCCAGTGGCGATGTTCACACATCGTAACAGGTACTCATTTGAGGCTGAATCAACCTAGGGGAGACCCAGGACCGGTTCAAATAATCGTCACCAGTGTTGGCCGGGTCACCGGGTTCGATATACCCAAACATACCAACATACACCCAAACACACCCATACACAGACAACGAGAACAAAACTACAGCCTCACCAGACGGGCTGCACAGGGGACACTGTGCAGCATCATTCTTCAAAATGTTATTAAAATATCAACACATGACAGTTTCCACGTGCCCATTACATCGCAGCTGCACATCTGATACGAAGTTATACAACCGAGGCTCTGATAGCTAATCAAGGCAATTTCCAAGAAATCCATTGCTTCAATATGAAGTTCTCAAGTAATGAAACTGTGTAAGTATTTAAGCAATTTAGTCTTGCCATGTATAAATTATTATTTAAGCGAACAAGTTGGCACCACACTACCAATACCGCATGAAACAGCAAAACCTGATCTTCACCAAACAAACCTTGTACATTTAAACAATTAACAAAATCCAACAGTCACGAAACAACCAGAACGACCGTACATCACACAACCCAGCCAGTGTACGATGCCCGTGTGAGCGCTTTGTGATGCGGTTTCATTTTTCACTCTCGCCACTGCCAGCAGGGCTGTGGGATTTGGCTGTGTGCCAGGAGTGGCTAAACAAAAATCCTTCCCCTCGCGAGCCTCCTCTCCTCCACCTGCCCTGCCCCTTGAAACCTCCCCAAGGCCCAAAGTGCTTCACTGGCACTGTACAATTGGCCGGTAAAACCCAGCCCCCACTGGGCAACAGCCTGCGGTGGTAGGCCCTGTAGTTGGCACTGCCAAATACTTTTTTTAACACTTCAGTTCTAAAAGCGAGTAACATCTCTTTGTATCACTGGATATAAGTTAATGTCTAATTTTCAGTCATCCCAAAATCCACTACCAGTAATAGCAGGCCCGGATTAAAGAAATAGCCTACATAATGGCCCCTAATTGCAGTCAATACATTTAATTTCCATCCATGTGATGTGGGATTAGGCCACATATGTCATTAAATGATCGTTGTCAATGTTTTTCTCTACATGTTATAAAATGTATGTTCTCTCATCACCCAGGGGCAACCCATTGAGATGTATTGTCGGTCTTGTAAAGGGGACCATGGAAATCACAGTCAGGGTTTTAGTTGGGTTTAAGCGTGATAATATAGTTGTATTTTGGATTTAGAATGACACAGGCACACCATGCTGCTCATGAATTCTGTGGATTCCATTAAAAACCACTTTCTAGCCGAGTGCACGCTCGACCTAGGTAAATAACTCTGCCGGTTTGGACATGACGCCTTCACTCGGTGTAAAGTCGCCCTGCGATGGCCCATCCACCAAAAATGCAAATATTTTGCACAGACTTTTGCAATTGTAATATTTCCAGAGTTCACTCGGGGGGGTAGGGGGGGTCAAGTTACATCCTGGGGCTCATCACCATCACGGCAAACAACAACTGGAAGTCACAAATGCGCGATTGCACTCCCTCCGGAGAGGGACGGAGACAGCGGACGGAGCCGCGAGCAACGTCACACGGTGGGGGGGGGGGGGGGGGGCGCTCACCCGCAGGGTGCCGGGGCTGCCGCGGGGACCGGCCGCGTCTCGGAAGGGGCTGCTGCCGGAGGCGCCGGGCGGCCCGCACACCAACAGGCTGGCGCCGCACTCCATGAGCCCGGCGAGTTCGCGCAGGAACACTCCGCAGAAGGGCAGCGGCGTGGGGCGGCCGGGCGCCGTGCGCCGCAGGGCCCGGGCGTAGCCCTCCACCGAGCCCAGCACCGACATGGCCTGCTTCAGGCTCTGCACGGCCTGCATGTCCGAGGGCTCCATGAACTGCCACATCTTGAGCACCTTGCGGGACCTGCTCACCACGAGGATCGGAGGGGAGATAATGGACTCGAATCAACCCATCATAGCAGAGGCTCGTGGATCAAACAGGAAAAGTCATAGGCTACACAATACCAAAGAGGCATAACAACAACACAAAATTTAATTTCAGAATAAAATCTTCGCTCAAATCGTGACACTTAAACAAACTGTGGGGAGGTGAATCATTGCACAGCTATGAAGCAACATTGCTAGGTGAGGTACAGAACTGGCCCGGTCCAGGCGTGAAACTTGTGTAGCACAAGCACAGGCCTCGTGCGAACAGAAGGAAGCAACGTCCATCGTGTCCGCTTTGGCTGTACTCGTTGCGCTCGCTGTCTGGAGTCGTATTATGTTGTGGAGAGGTTCAAGGTCAAGGTGAAAGAAAGAGGGCGAGGTTGAAGGCGAGGAAGCGAAGGTATGACCTGAGGCCAGAGAGGATTTCGGCGACGCCGTGGTAGTTCCTCTTGTGGTAGCAGGCGTAGGCCGCCTGCACCAGGCAGGAGTACGTCTGCCGCTTCTCTTCCATGGAGGGGGCGGCCAGCACGAGCCACGTGACCCACGTGCTCACCTTCACCGGGACAGGGACAGGAGCAGGGGAAGGGGCATGATGCAACACGGAGGGTGAACAATGCGTGAATGTCCGCAGCGTGGGAGAGCTCAACAAAAAGTTAGGAAGAATGTGTTTTTTTACTTTGTTAAGATACGTTTAGTTAAATCTTGTTTTAATAGAAACGGCGATGTTGATGATTTTCTATTAAAGGTGACGGACCAGAGTCATAAGCAGTCCATACTTTGCAGCGGATAGTGGCCTCTGGCAGTTCCCTGCAGAAATCACTAAGAGACTGGGAACACAGAACCTTGACTACGTGCAAGGTGGCTCGATGGCTCGTCGATGCATTGAAGCTTCCCTACCCCGATACTTTCACCAATTTATTGCTCTGCCGCTACTTCTTCGCCTGGTGTTTAGGGGGGGGGGCGCGATTGACTGCAGAAAAGCATGGGAATCAAATTCAACAAAAATGAGTAAACAGGTGTCAACGTTTCGTTCAATTCTCCAATCGTCAGTTCTGCTAATCATCCAGCATTGTCATCGCTGCTGAACACTGGGATTTGTTTCTGAGTCTGGGACCAAGCGTGAGGGTGTATGTGTGTTTGTTAAACTTCATTCGCCCCCTAAGTAGCCAACCGTGCCAATCGGAGGTATGGGGGAAAGACAACAAACTAAACTCAAAAAGCAACCATCTCCCCATACCTCGTTGAACCAGTCCACCAGGGCCTGGATGGCGTCCTCTGGCCGCGGGCCGCCACCCTGCTGCTGTTGCTGCTCGGCTGGCGCCGCATCGCTGCCACGCTTCCCCCGCAGGCCGGCGAGGACGGAGTCCGTGGCGGCGGGCGAGGACAGGTCCGCGGTGAGGAAGGCGAGGTAGGAGCCGGGAGAAACATTGCGGTACAGCGCGACCTCGCGCTCCCACAGAACGCCGGCCACCTCCTCGGGGAAGGCGAGCAGCGAGCAGAGGGCCTCCAGCTCGGGGCTCGTGGCGCCTCCCGCCGCCGTCGGCTCGAGGCCGCTCGTGCTGGGCAGGGACATCGCCAGGCCTCGCCCTGACCCAATGACAACACCGCCCAGCCGGTGATACAGAGACACTAGCTACTTAGCCGGTGATACAGAGACACTAGCCACTTAGCCAGTGACACGGAGACACCAACCACCCAGCCAGTGAAACTGCATCCAGATATGTTTCATCCAGCAGACACGTATACACTAGTTTGGCCTAATACTCCGCGTGAATAATAATAATCTACCCTTCCTTTTGCTGGCACTGCTGTTAGTCTCCACCATGGACGCATGCTACCCAATCCCGCTTACTTTTCTTAACAGCCAATGTGATGTCTCCAACTTGTGCTCGTCCTCCGATCCACGCGTGTCCTCTTCCTGTCTCTCAGTCTTAATTCTAAGCCTCCACCTCTCCGTGCTTCTTCGCGAACCTTTCAGTTTTTGCCCATGTTTCCGATCCACACGTCAGTGTCATACGTTACTGTGCGACACACCAAGTCGACTGGAAACCAACTAGCTTGCAATCGGAGGCGGGTTGTAATCGGAACCGACATGACCGGGGTCTCATCGCACCGCCACAGGCGTGGGTCCCGGCCGCTACCAACAATCAAAGAGGGAGGTTCCGGTGAGTGAAGAGTCCACTCTCGGTGTTGGTGAAACACGATTTGAGTGATACGACTGTGGGGCGCGTCTCAGAGCGCTTTGCATCTCATCTCACAAAATTGGAAAGGGCACCCCCAGTGGCAGCTGTCCCTGTGAGCACAAGGTGACTCATCACCCGGCTTGCAAGGAGCATTATTGTGACCGTCTGGGGCCAATGCTTGCCAGGTGTAGTCCCAAATTTGGAGCGTGGCGCAGGCATACATAGGCCGACTCGATTTGAATGCCGTCAGGGGATCTTTAACGTTCATTCATTCATCACACAGTCAGCGGAGGACCGTTGCGCCAAACGCGTGACCTCTCGCGACACCATTCGCATAAACTGCTCTTGCTGCCGAACACCGGTGACTCGAGTGATTTGTTTGAACCACGGATCACGGGGGGGGGGGGACACCATGTTGGGGGGGGCGTCATTCCTTTGAGGATCAGCAGTCCGCTTGGAATGTCGACTGCCAACTGAAGTGAGCGCAATATTCTGGGGTTTGCGCATCAAGACGGGCGACATGTCCACTACGAATCAGACGGTGCTGAACACGCAACGGCAGTATCATCACCACGGCGGCCTGCCAGATCCAAGCCGGGAATCTCTTGCAACAAGAGGTGAACGTGCTAACCGCCGAGCTCCATCACGGCCCGGCACTGTCACGACTCGTGGCCTGACGTCAGCGAGAAGGCCGACTGTCAGATCGAGTCGAGCAAACCGGTGACCGACGTTCATTCCGTCCTGTTACTTTGTTTGAGATATCTGCTCCCGCTGGGATCAAGGCTTTTATATTTGGCGGTGGCATTTTGTGCCAGGCTCTCCCCTGGCGAGAGTGGCGGGAGAAGGCAGCTGGTGGGGGGAAGGGGGTGCTGGAGATGGGTGCAGACAAAGAGGCCCAAAAACAGGAACCACCAACAGAGCTGGCCACTGGTGGGCACCATCCCACATGCACACAAAAACAAACCGGAGCAAGCCGTGCGTACCAAGAAACATCACGACACGTGCGCATGCAATCGCACTCGCGCACACAACAAGCGTCCGCTACTACGTAACCACAGACTGCTGGGGCGCACGGCTGTCAGCGAACACCTATTAAGGCCAGCACCGCGCACAAATGGTGGTTGGATGGCTGGCTCTCCCCAGGGCTGACACACACCGGCACCTGGTACTCGCCGAAGGCAATTCACATTACATCGGAAACACGAGCAAAAGCTACTGCACGTGTTATTTAGCGATACTTGATATCGGGGGAACAACCGTGACACTGACGCGTATCACGCATGGTACGACATGTACAGTCGCGTGAGCCGGTTTCACGAGCGTCTGCAGAGCTCGCCACTGGTGGTTAAGTGGCATCTGTGTTCCAAAAACCACGCTTGGCAAATTGCTGTTTGGTTTAATCCTACCCTCTAATCTTCTTCTCTCCCTTAAAGGTAATTATCCAACCCTTGAGCAGCTAAATTAAAGGTCATTTAACCATGTCTCACTACAGCAGCGGGTGGGGGGGAATACCATCATTGTGTAAACGATGCCACAAACGAGAGTATCGGGAGGGCTACCAAGGCCCTAACGTGCATTAAAATTTCACGCACGCGACATGCTTAACAGCAGCGCCGTGAAACGAGTGTGCTCCTTAGTGGGGAGCGAAGTGAACATACGGTCGAGGGCTGGCATTTGCAATGAGATGAATAGGAGTGAGACGGAATACTTATTCAGGATGCACGAGGAGGTAAGAATATCACGGGGAACAAAAACAATAATTTTACACAAATATTAAACAATTACTTTAAGAACCATAATTATACAACTAGTATATATTCTTGCAGAATGGTGGTAAAGGTGAAGGCGCAGCCCTGCAATTACTGGCTCACGCTGCTGCCTCCACTTAGGGGGGCCTTTGCTCCAATCATCCACAAGAGGGGGGCTCTAACCCGAAACCTCCACTTAGGGGGCCTGACACCGGTGTCACAGTACTAGAAATGAGGACACACACACACACACACGTACATACACACACACACACGTAAGTACGTGTGGTGTGTGTACTCGTGTTGGATAGCTGTGAGAGCGACCTTCCAAAGCTTACATTCACTGTCAGGTTATCCTATTTATAATTTTGGCACACCACCAGTGGTGAGTAAGTCGACACATATTCCACACCGCGACATCAACACTGAGTTGCATCCCAAGCAAAGAAGAATCAAGGCGAGAAAGGTCATCGATAACCACGTCGCCGATGCCACCACAACACGATGCCAATCAGACTCCTCCAGCTGTCACACCGTCACCCCCCCCCCCGCCCCCACCTTTAAAGTCCGAGCATCTCCCCATACCATTGTCCGCCTTGCGGCCTTCTCTGTTGATAACCTCGGGGGTGCCACTCCAAAGACAAAGATCCCCCGTATAGCTCAACAGACTGTTGGGGCAAGTGCTGCTATAGTGTTTCCGCTCCAATGTCTCTCTCAGCAACATGCCCTACCCGCCCCTGCACAATGGCCTCCTCACTACACCTCTGTGCTCGAGCTTACACCTTCTTTTCCGGATTTCAAATGACCAATAATCAAACTTGCAGCATTGTCAACATGCACCAGCACTGGAAGGCAGAAGCTCCGTTTTCATTGTTTTGTTGAAGTCCGGCTCCACGGACCTTGAGCCGACCACCTCCACACCCATCTCTGCACCTCCGATTGATTTAATCATCAGCAGCTATGGTTAAATCCACTGCGAAAGGAAGGCCTCTCAAAGACGTTGCCACTTATCGTGATCTTGCGATATAACAGTCCACCCAGCACCTGAACATGAGCTGATCTCATCGCCCCAACTCACCGCCCCAACTCTCTGCTCCGTCTCATCGGTGGACATCCTCTGGGACGCTGCGTTCCACTCCTAGGTTGCCACTCCGTCATTCCCCTTAACAATCGCCCATCACCGCTTCTGGTGGTGTGTCCTACCCAAGCCAACTTTAGTTGTCTTAATAGTTTGGATGATGTCACCAACCTATCCTCTAATCCACGTATCCATCAAAACCTTCGCTGCGACTCAACATCTCTTGCTTTCCCTCTGTAACGAACATTCCCATGAAAGTTCACGGAGGGCCGTTTCTACTTCCGCACAATCACTTCTCACCACCGACATCGTCGCAGTGGTGCTTGAGGCCCCAGACTCACCGCCACCTTCAACTTCTCGTTTGGAAAGCAGTGAAGGAGGTGAACAGATGCTGCGGCGACTTTGATGAGGCTATTACTGCTGCACGCAGTATGAGACAGTTGCTGCAGGGCTGAAAAGGGCTATCGTCAGATCACTCAACAAACGAGAGAGGATGACCAAAGGGCTACATTATTCCAGGGCAAATATTGACCTGTGTTTGTTGAATTAAACTCACCATGTACGGCCCCTCTGTCAATCCACTGCTGGGTGAAGGCCTTCGCCATGCCATTTTAATCATGGGAGTTGTTTGACCACACTTCACCATGCCGGTAAGTGCAGGTCGGATAACGCACGCCGCTCATGAAAGCCATGGGCAGCGTTCGAACCCGGGCGGTCAGGTTGACAACGCGGCAACGCGAACCGCCGCGCCACTGCCTGCCTCCCACAGCGCTCCCCCCTGGGCCTGTTAGACGCTGGACATGGCATGAAGCGGCTGTAAGTGATTACAGGCAGCGGGAATAATCCAAACGGGATGAACAGGCGCCAACGCTCCATTCCCGGCTGAACGCAGTAATTCGCCCCGATGGTTACTTGTCGCATACCAATTTGACTGGAATCAAGTGGATTTGAGTGAATTATTTTTATCTTTTAAGATCGACGCTGCGGAACATCACACCCGCGGGGCGGCGTTGGCCCTGCCGTGTCACGGCCCCGACACGTTCACCCAGAGCCCCCCCCCCCCCCCCGTCTCGCATGGGGGGCTAACGAAGAAGCAGCTCCACACCGATTCGTACTCACTCTGTTGGGAGCAAAGTTAACATGACCTTTCTACGGCTCTCCACAGAGGGCCGTAGAAAGGTCGCGGGGTTCATGAGTGACGCCACGCCACATCACCTGCGGTGTCAGGGCCTCCGTTTGTCCGTGCTGCTGTTGTTGTTGCTGCTGCTGCGGCTGTTGTTGTTGTTGTTGCTGCTGTTGTCGTCGTCACCAAGATCTGCGTGGGGGATGCCAGTGACGTGGCTGCACTACGGCTGGCGTCTTTGTGTTCCGTAGGCTTCCAATGATCCGTCGGTTGAAGTACGTTTGTACGATCATGATACACCCATCGAACTACGGCGGAGGTGTGAATGTAACTCGAGGTGAACTATATACACCGGCTTTCACTGGGAGAGATCATGTAGATCGTACCTTCAGGTGAATTAAAATAATGACGAAGAACATATGCGACAAACAATACAAATAACAAAGCTTAAACAGGATACAACGAATACATTTTGATTCAAATTATTACCCCGAATTGTGACAAATGAATTACTGAAGGAGGCAAATCGTGCCGGCGAGCGAGCGAGCGAACGTCCTACCTTTGGCAGGGCTCTTCCCCTGCGCGGACGCAGTGGTCAGCACGGGGCTCGTGACCCCGGGGCGCGACCCCAGCAGAAGCACGGCCTCCAGCAGCGCGCCGGACACGCGCTCCCGGAGCCCCTCGTCGGGCAGCCAGCCCCGCACCGCGACCGCCGGGGCTTTCGCGGCAAGCGCCGCCGCCACCGCCCGCGCCCGGGCAGTCACCGACTCGGCCAAAATCTTCCTGGACGAGTGCAGGAGGTGCGCGTCTCCCCCGTGCCACAGGAGCACCTGCGGGGAAAAAAGCGGCGGTGGCGGCGCGGGCGAGGTCACTCGCAGGGCCGACGGGACGCGTCGTCGACCGCCAACGCCTCTCGCGTGGCTGCAAAACGCGACGGGCTGCTGCAGGCTCGGTCCGCGTACACCCGCCCGCCCCGCTCGGTGTGCAAACAATGGCGTGCGCGCGGGTACCTGGATAGCAAGGGGGCCGACCGATAAAGCGCTCGACGTGAACGTGACATTCAGCGGCACGGCGGGCGACGAGCCGGCAAATCAGTCGGCCCACGTGGGAGCGCGGTCGCGGCCAATTAACACCGGAGCGGGGTGCCGGGCTCACGGCGGGAGGAGAGCACGAGGCGCACGAGGCGCACGCAGCGAGGCCCACCCCGGAGAAATCAGAGGTGTGTTTGTGTGTGTGTGTCTTTGTGTGCGTGTGTGTGTGCGTGTGTGTTTGTGTGCATGTGTCTTTGTGTGCGTGTGTGTTTGTGTGTGTGTCTTTTTGCGTGCGTGTCTTTGTGTGCATGTGTCTTTGTGTGCGTGTGTGTTTGTGTGTGTGTGTCTTTGTGTGCGTGTGTGTGTGCATGTGTCTTTGTGTGCATGTGTCTTTGTGTGCGTGTGTTTGTGTGCGTGTGTTTGTGTGCGTGTGTTTGTGTGCATGTGTCTTTGTGTGCGTGTGTTTGTGTGCGTGTGTTTGTGTGCGTGTGTTTTTGCGTGTGTGTCTTTGTGTGCGTGCGCATGTTTGTGTGCGTGCGTGCGTGCGTGTGCGTGCGTGTGCGTGCGTGTGCGTGCGTGTGCGTGTTTGTGTGCGTGCGTGTTTGTGCGTGTGTGTGCGTGTTGCGTGTTTGTGCGTGTGTGTGCATGTGCGTGTGTGTGCGTGCGTGTGTGTGTGTGCGCCGCTTCCTCGCGGATTATCGCGCCACATCCCGCGGAGAGCGCAGCGCCACGGGACGCCTCGCGGCGCCTTCGGCGGCGCGGAGTTGCGGGGGATGAGGAGATGCAATTAGGAGTGGGATGCGGGGGTAGGCGGGCTCCTGGTTGAAGAGTAAAACACTCGCACAGGAACTAAGGAAAGCGACGTCTCGGGAGCACGCTGAAGAAGACAACAAATTCGCGGAGATGAGGATGTTGTTATTATTTTTTTGTTATCCTCGACAAATAAAATTCAGTTAAAGTGATCGCTTGCCAATGTGGAACAAAACGGGGTATTCTCTGAATTGTACGAGAAACTTCCCGCCCTGTGTTTTACAGCCAAATCTGGGGTGCATCTTAAGATCCGCATGTCTGAGCCAGTGGTGAAAACTCCACATTCCTATGACAAGCCGTATGTATGTACGTTGAACTTCTTTCGTACCGTACGTATCTAACCAGTGCTCATCACAGGTGCGGCCTATTTCTGTGTCTGCGTGGCGCCAGATTTGTTTAACGACGTTGACACAGGGCACGAGTTCAGGCCACGTCTCACTTTCCAGAGCGTTTCATCACGCGGGGGAACAGCAGTCCTTTCCTTCTTGACATTTGCAACGTCCAAGTATTATGGCATTACGTTTCACATTGGAGCCGGGTTTTAATTTCGCATATTTACATATATATGTGTTTAAAACACGTGCTTCGAACCGCGACTGCTGCACAGACACATCGAATATCACGGAACGACTTTGAAATTACACCAAACGCCTTTTTTCTCCCTAACTTGCACAACAACCAGCTGCACTCTTCAACTGTGCACGGTGGAGTTGATCATTCCGCCAAATCATCCAAGTAAATCCCAGCTCTGGGCTTGAAAGAACAAAGAACAAAACCAATGTTTTGTACACAAGCAACTTGGCTGAGACTCATAAAACTGGCCAAACACAAAAACATAGGTTTTATTTCACATGGGCGTTTCGGCTTTGCATCTGGCTCAATAGTACAAGTGGTACTGCCAAAGCAGGATGCCTGCTGTAAAGTTGATGTTAAAGTGCCTTGACAGAATTCGTAACAGTAAACCATTGTGTTGCTGTGTCCCAACCAAATGTCCACATCTGTAAATGTCCAAAAAATAATATTTTTGAAAAATATTTTACCAGGTAAGGCCCACCGAGCTCGATAGCTCTTTATCAGAAGCCACCTGACCAACATACCTCTCTGGTGTGTGACTGTGGTCACCCAGTCCAGCGTCACGGGACATCGAACAACAGATACAAAGGAGGAGGCATAATCATCATCACAGCGATGCACCACTCCGCTACTCCCGACGCAATCATCCGGCTCAACCACAGCCGCCGCTCTACGCCAACACGAGCCGTACGAAGATGAAGATTGTCACAACAGCACGTGGGGCACTTTTCTGACAACATGTTCCCCTGCTGCTGCTGAGTCTGTTTACAGATTGGGGGGGGGGGGGAGGGGGGATCGTCCATCACAGCTGCGAGGTGTTCACCGAGGAGGGCAGGAGGAGGGTAACGCCGCGTTCAGCGTCGTCGCTGCTCACGGTGTACTTCTGCAGTGTACTGTACTCTCAAATGTACCCTGCATTGCACCCTGCATTGTCAGCGTGCTTGGTGAGAATGCTCTTTGCAGTCTTGCAGGCCGGGCACAAGATCTGTTCTGCACGCTGTAACGTCGCATGGGTTGTCACCCCCTCCGAGGCCGACTATGGTGCCCGCCTTTTTCTGTCGGCGATTTCTTCTCTGCGTAACGTAAAGAACAAAGGGTTTGTAGACAATAAGACAAAAGGTATTGGCACGAATCTCCAAATTAGCCGACAGCACAGACCGGATTAACGACAGCGCGTTAGTTTTACCCACAACTGTCCTCCGCGCTGCCTACTGGAGTACCCTCATTGTGTGCTTGCGCGTAACGTGCGGTCTCCAACTGCAGTCCGAGTCAAACGTGGCACTCTTGTGTCTCCACCACCACCACCACCACCACCACCGCCTACGAGGGCCACAGCCCATAGATCAAAATACTCGACTGGATTCACCGTTGTGGACAATGCCCACAAAATGCGTCTCTGCTTTGCGGCGGCGTTATCGGTGGCGCTGGCACGGCGATGTTTTGAAGAACTCTCGGTTTTGTGGTGTGTGCGAATCGCTGCTGGCGCATGACCATCAGTTTTAACCGGCAAATCTGGTTGCCCACACAAAGTGCGGCACACCACAGACTGCTTTCTCTCTGCTCACAGCCGCCGTGCACAGATAGAGGGAAGCGATAACGCCCCTGGACCCCACGGTTGGGGACGTGCTAGGGTGGCCACCGAGTGCTTGGTATGTGTGTGCGTGTTATTTTAGTGTCTCTGCAGATGGTAGTAGGCGCCAGGAAATATGACCTACACAGTTATGAAGTCCCCTGCTAACGTCGATGATCGCCACGGGTTGTCGGTCGCCGTAGCGGGGAGCGTTCGTGGTGTCATTGTTTATTAATTATTGTGAAATCTTGATTTCAAGCTTTCATGACTGCAGGAATCCATACTCTTTGGTTATTTCGGTAAAGTCACGTGACTTTACCGAAAGAACCAAAGAGTATGATTATTGTGAACACGGAGTGCGTAGTGACCGGATAACGATGAGGTTTTACAGCCAGTTGAATTTTGTGAGAGTCGTCTATGAAACGCGCGACACCACGGCGGCTTAAACAACCGACGGTGTGGCTACCAACGCAACAAAACACAGCAACGCTCGTAGCCTGGACAATAATGGTACTACATTGGTATCCAATCATCGAATATAAACGTGTTAAAGTTCAAATTGAAAATACAGGATTTATACTTTCACATTTGTACCCAACACGTATCCAAAGCAAACCAATATACACAATTTGGAAGCTGTCAATGAACCCAATTGGCGTGATTCATGTAGCTGTGCAGCCTCGTGGCATACCGGGTGGTGGGCCACTGAGACTGGGAGGCTGGGTGTCAATTGTTTTGTTTCATGGCAAAGCTGGAACAGCTGCAGGAGCTGGCAAAGGGAAGGCGGCGATGGCGAGGTGTGGTGGCCTCTTCGGTCTCGTGTTAGTCCACAGCAGTTGGGCCATCATCCACAAACGGTACGCGCTGCTTTGTCGGCTTCATACTCTTTAGGAATAAAAAGTGTATTTTTTATAGATACCCTTCAAGTTTACGCTGTGAGTGCCAGTCCACTCCACAGTCAATCGCCGCCATCTCCGCTAGTCAGCTCGTGGCGACCGCCAGATCGTTCCGCGCACTCGAATATCGCGAATTATACGTCACGGCTTCGTGGTCAGCGGTCCATTGGCCTGGAACTCACCTACCCACTCGCTCACCTACTCACCTACTCACCCACCCATTCACCTACTCACCCAACCACTCACCTACTCACATACTCACTCACCTACTCATACTCAGCCATCCGTCGGCCTGGAACTCACCTACCCACCTACCCACCCACTGACCTACCCACCCACCCACTCACCTACTCACCCAACCACTCACCTACTCACCCACCCACTCACCTACTCGGTGGTCCGTCGTGCAGGAGCGGCGGCTAAACGGGCCCTGGTGGAGGGTTATCAGACGCCCTCGTAGGATAACAACTAAAGTCAGGAGGGGGCTTCCTGTAGGCAGATGGAACCCACCAGGTTATTGTGACAATGCCACTAAAAGTAATTTGTTTGACATTTCCCAAGGCCCTTTTGCGAGTGGGAATCTCTGGAAAATTCCCAGCTTGTCCTGTGGTTACCCTGTCGCTGGGAAGAGAGACGGCCGCCCCCTTCCCCAATCCGTGGATTCGGCCTCACACCCACCAAGATCCAGGCTACGAACGTACACGCGCGCACACACACGCACGTACGCACACACACACACGCACGCACACGCACGCGCACACACACGGCTCGTCCCTTCTGTGCTGTACCCCATTGCTGCTGCACAGAGTCTTCAGTACAATGGGGGCGCTTATCTCTTCAGGACCACTCATCCCACGACTCAACTCATGATGATCTCTGATGCCCAGAGATGGAATGCTGACAGCAAACTCAAGCATACAAAAGACGAAACCCCCCGCCCTCCATTTAGC